CCACATAATTTTCCTTCCTCATGATGCCATCTATTTTGTGAAGTGCACCAGCCTGCAGCAAAGTACCCCCACAGCATGATGCTGCCACCCCCGTGCTTCATGGTTGGGATGGTGTTCTTCGGCTTACAAGCTACCCCCCTTTTACTCCAAACATAACAATGGTCATTATGGCCAAACAGTTATATTTTTGTTTCATCAGACCAGAGGACATTTCTCAAAAAAGTACGATCTTCGTCCCCATGTGCAGTTGCAAACCGTAGTCTGGCTTTTTATGGTGGTTTTGGAGCAGTGGCTTCTTCCTTGCAGAGCGGCCTTTCAGGTTGTGTCGATATAGGACTCGTTTTACTGTGGATGTAGATACTTTTGTACCTGTTTCCTCCAGCATCTTCACAAGGTACGTTGCTGTTGTTCTGGGATTGATTTGCACTTTTCGCACCAAAGTACATTTATTTCTAGGAGACAGAACGCATCTCCTTCCTGAGCGGTATGACGGCTGCGTGGTCCCATGGTGTTTATACTTGCGTACTATTTTTTGTACAGATGAACGTGGTACCTTCAGGCGTTTGGAAATTGCTCCTAAGGATGAACCAGACTTATTTTCTGGTTCATCCTTGGGAGCAATTTATTTTCTGAGATCTTGGCTGATTTCTTTTGATTTTCCCATGATGTCAAGCAAAGAGGCACTGAGTTTGAAGGTAAGCCTAGAAATACATCCACAGGTACACCTACAATTGACTCAAATGATGTCAATTAGCCTATCAGAAGCTTCTAAAGCCATGACATCATTTTCTGGAATATTCCAAGCTAAAGGCACAGTCAACTTAGTGTATGTAGACTTCTGACCCACTGGAATTGTGATATAGTGAATTATAAGTGAAATAATCTGTCTGTAAACAATTGTTGGAAAAATTACTTGTGTCATGCACAAAGTAGATGTCCTAACCGACTTGCCAAAACTATAGTTTGTTAACAAGAAATGTGTGGAGTGGTTGAAAAACGAGTTTTAATGACTCCAACCTAAGTGTATGTAAACTTCTGACTTCAACTGTATGTTTGTTCTGTACAACCGCGGTCCTTCCACTGGGTGCTGATATTCATACTTTTAATAAAAACTTTTAATCGAATACAACCACCGACTTTTTCCTAATTTGTGTTGCTCAAATGGAGACATAGCGGCATTGACGTACTACGTAAACTACGATTGAATTGGCACGTGCATTCGCCCTGAGTTGAGGAACATAAATTAGGAAAAAGTTGGTTGTATTCATTAAAAGTTTTTATTAAAAGTATGAATTTCAGCACCAGCGGAAGGACCACGGTTGTACAGGACAAACATAGGTACAGTTAAGCAATCACAATGTTTGTTTTGACCAACCCATTGTAGAAATGTACACACAGAACACTACAGATGCCATATCTTAATTTTTGCCAGTTTCACACAGCAGGAAAAAAGTCTTGCAGCAACAGGAAATGTGAATTGTTATGTGGATTATAATTAATGGACATTTTCTGTAAGGTAGCCTTGCGGTAAGAGAGGCGAGCCAGAAACCTTGAGCAAGGCACTTAACCCCCCACAATAACAGCTCTCCGGGCGCCCGATGTGGCAGCCCCCCACACCCATCCCCCAAAAACTGTATGTGTATATGTGTGTGTCTTTCGGAGGGGTGGGTTAAAAGCGGAAGTACAATTTTGGTTGGACCTTGTGTGCAATTGACCAATAAAGTTATCTTAATCTTAATCTTAATCTTTCATTAGGGCAAATGTAGTCTGACATGTTCAAGTGGAAATTACAAACATTACAAGCCTTTTTAAACCTTGAATACACTACAAGTTTGCATTTCCTGCTGTGCAGTAAAGTTCCTGCAACAGTATGATCAAATAAAGATACGCATCTGTATTTCTTCACACTCCCCACACAACCTGTGGTGTTCTGGCCTTCTTGTCACCTTTTCTCTGTTTGCTCCGTCTTTCATTCTGTCTTTCCCATAGACACATTGCCCTCTCTCTGACTGTGTTGGTGTGTGTGCATATGTGTGTGATGCTCTTGGCTGTGTCCTGCTTGTCAAAGGCCTCTTTCCTGTCTGTGTAATTAGAACAGCCTGGCCTAGCATTAGTGCTATAGTTAGCATATGTAAAGGACTTAGCGAGTACTGCTTCCTCCTGATTCTGCTCACACCAAGGACCTCTGCCTTGCTAGCACACACGACCACCCTCCTGAAGCGTCTTACCAGTCACCGCCATTCGAAAAGCTCGCTATCCCCACTTGCGCCGAGGAGTAAGTTCCACACATTCCCATGTGCTACAAATCACTTGGCTCTGTCATATCCTCACAAGGTCTCTCCTATCATTGCTACGCAGACGACACACAATTAATCTTCTCCTTTCCCCCTTCTGATAACCAAGTGGCGAATCGCATCACTGCATGTCTGGCAGACATATCAGTGTGGATGTCGGATCACCACCTCAAGCTGAACCTCGGCAAGACGGAGCTGCTCTTCCTCCCGGGGAAGGACTGCCCGCTCCATGATCTTGCCATCACGGTTGACAACTCTGTTGTGTCCTCCTCCCAGAGTGCAAAGAACCTTGGCGTGACCCTGGACAACACCCTGTCGTTCTCCGCTAACATCAAAGCGGTGACTCGATCCTGTAGGTTCATGCTCTACAACATTCGCAGAGTACGACCCTACCTTACACAGGAAGCGGCACAGGTCCTAATCCAGGCACTTGTCATCTCCCATCTGGATTACTGCAACTTGCTGTTGGCTGGGCTCCCTGCCTGTGCCATTAAACCCCTCATCCAGAACGCTGCAGCCCGTCTGGTGTTCAACCTTCCCAACTTCTCTCACGTCACCCCGCTCCTCCGCACACTCCACTGGCTTCCAGTTGAAGCTCGCATCTGCTACAAGACCACGGTGCTTGCCTACGGAGCTGTGAGGGGAACGGCACCTCCTTACCTTCAGGCTCTGATCAGTCCCAACACCCAAACGAGGGCATTGCGTTCTTCCACCTCTGGCCTGCTGGTCCCCCTACCTCTGCGGAAGCACAGTTCCCGCTCAGCCCAGTCAAAACTGTTCGCTGCTCTGGTAACCCAATGGTGGAACAAGCTCCCTCACGACGCCAGGACAGCGGAGTCACTCTCCACCTTCCGGAGACACTTCAAACCCTACCTCTTTAAGGAATACCTGGGATAGTATAAAAGTAATCCTTCTATCCCCCCCCCCCCTTCCCCCCTCCACTACCCCACCACCACAAAAATATTAAAAAAATATATATAAAAAATATATATATAAAAATCAAAAGAAATTTAAAAAACGACAAAAACTAAAAAATACATTTAAAAAATAATTATTTAATAATAATAATAATAATAAAAAAAAACACATATCAAAATAAAAATAAAATAATAATAAGAAAACAACAACAATATATATATATATATATATATATATAAAACAAATGAACATTAAAAACATACTCAAAAATTAAAAACTATAAAAAAGATATAACAAAAAAACATTAAATTTAAAAATTAAAATAAAAAAATTAAAATAAATAAAGTGGTTATCCCACTGGCTATCATAAGGTGAATGCACCAATTTGTAAGTCGCTCTGGATAAGAGCGTCTGCTAAATGACGTAAATGTAAATGTAAATACACTAGCTGCTGACTGGTCCTCCCACCAGCACACACATAATGACTATAGTCTGGCTATGACACACTGCTTGGCCTGACAGCAGACAGTAGCCTGCCCCCTCATCAAAACGATAACAGATAACACAGTCAGGCTGGATCTACTGATGTACTGATTCTTAGATTTCTTACCTGATGAGGTTCATTCAGATAACAGCTCCAAGGGAGACTCTTATCATGATGCAACAAACTATAGTAATAGTGGAAGCTGATCAAAATGAACTTTTCCAAAGATTGATGTATATTCTTTTATTTTTATTTTTTTAGGGAGTGGAACAGCTTTAATATTGAAAATAGATTGTGGCTTCTATCAATGTAATTGTCTGCATGATTTCCAATCCCCCATATATATTTTTTAGAAATATATTATTTTAAATTGATGTTGTTAATTAGCTGTTCTGTGAATGGAAAATTCTCACCTTTTATAAAGGGTTCACTGTGTCATATATAAAATGTAATGGCCAGGTTATGGTTGCCCCTGACCTTTGACCTATACCAGGAAGTGCATTCTGTATACCTCTGTTCAGATGTTTCCTCCATCCATACACTCCTTGTCCCTCATCACAACCCAACCTTGAGAACACACACACATTGCCTTGAGAACATAGCACAGACCTCCCTCCTTCAGACCCTGATCCCATGACCTCTCCTTACACTGCCTCTATTCGCCCCTCACCCTCTGGAATTCTGGGAAATCTTTGGCCCCTGAACGAAAGGTCCACAAACATCCATGAAGGAACCGTATTCTATGCCAGACCTTAGCCTATCTGACCTTAGCCATTCTGATCAAGGGCCCTATAAAAGTGTGAGCTCCTGAGTGGCGCAGTGGTCTAAGGCACTGCATCGCAGTGCTAACTGTGCCACTAGAGATCCTGGTTCGAATCCAGGCTCTGTCGCAGCCGGCCGCGACCGGGAGACTCATGGGCGGCGCACAATTGGCCCAGCGTCGTCTAGGGTAGGGGAGGGAATGGCCGGCAGGGATGTAGCTCAGTTGATAGAGCATGGCGTTTGCAACGCCAGGGTTGTGGGTTCGATTCCCACGAGGGGCCAGTATAAAAAAAATATGTAATCACTAACTGTAAGTCGCTCTGGATAAGAGCGTCTGCTAAATGACTAAAATGTAAATGTAAAAGTTCCTTGACAGTGACAAACACACATACCTTTTCACAAAGTACAATCTAAACATGCACCTTTCCATGAACCATCTTCACCTGACCAAGCCATGTTCTCACTGCTCACAGATGTTAGTGATTCCAAGATGTTACACAACAATGCTATGTTAGATCAATGGCCAGACCACATTGGGCTGAATGGCCTTCTTTTATAATTTCAGTGCTCTTCCAACATCTGTACTCTCACTAATGCTGTTTGTGCTGTTGTTAATGTCTAGGTATGAGACTACCTCCAGTGAGGATGAATCCAGTGAGGAGGAGAAGGAGGAGGCAGGGGAGGAGGAGGTGGACAGCTCTGAGAATGAGGAGCAGCAGGAGGAGCAGGAGAAGGAGGAGGGAGCTGGAGCAGCTCAGGCCCAGGAAGCAGGGGCCCAGGCTGGGGAGACAGAGGGCCAGGAAGACCCCCAGGACCCAGAGAACAGCCAGGCACTCCTGGAGGAGCAGCCAGCTGCAGCAGGGTGTGTTGGGGGATAGAAGGAGAGTGTGGATATGCGGGGAAATAATTATAATAATTATATAAGTAGTGAGATAGCGAAGTTGGTGACAAGAACATGTGTTGTTTAACTCCCACAGTGGGCCACCCACCAGGCAGTTCTTGATCAAGGTTCTTTACCCATATTGTTTCATTAAATATCATCCAGAGTGGATTACTTCTGAAATGATGTTGTCATCCTCATAATAACTGCACGTGGTTTTACCGCAACAGAGTAGAGCAACACCCTTCAATTGAAGCGCCTGGAAACAAATGACACATCTCTCACAGAAACAGATCAACAATTAAATCACAGATAATTATAAGGGAGCAGGAGAACTTCTAAATTGGCTACAATAATTACAATAACTTTTCAAGCAACAAATTGACAGATTTCCAGTACCCCCCTTTCTTGACACCTGTAACTGCCATTTCCTGCCATCTAGAGCAAAAAATTACATTAAATGATAACAAATAACGTTTTTTTACATAGTGTTGCAGCCAGCACAAGATGGCGCAGCCCCCTCTTAAATTCTTTGGGGAGAACCCTGATCCATGTCTTTGTTCAGGTGAGGGCCAGCTGCATACAGCCTGGAACCTACAGTATAGAGCCTTCAGGGCCCAATTAGACCACAATGAGACAGGTGCTGAGTGAAGCTTTAATATATCAGCCATCCACCCCACTGATGGGGCCTAGAATGGTCTGGCCCCTTCTGCTGCTGACATACCAGACATATACACACATGTACACACACACACACACACACACACACACGAGCACACACTGAAGTGTGATTCAGTTACAGGGAGGATGTGTTGGATATGTTGACCTTGTGGCTCTGTCTCAGAAACAGGCCCTCAGGGAGTGTGCTGTTGTTCTGTCTGTGTTAGTCAGGAAGGAGCAGGCGTGACATCATGTGGGCTCTACATTGTTGTTGACATGATTACATGCAGCATCGTGATGAGAAAACAGACATACCATGATTATATATTACTACAGCAGCTAAAGTTTCACAGTGAAGAGATAGGAAAAGTACAGTTGTGTGTTTATTACTATCGATGAGTCATCATCACATAAATTTATTTGTATCTTTATTTATAGTCTCGGTAAACTTAATGTCAAGAGATGTAAGCTATCATGTTTCATAAGGAATGTGTTTTGCATTAGGCTATGTTAGCTATTTATGTATCTGTTTATTGCTTATGCTTATGTATGATTAGGCCTGGCATGTTTTGACTTGATTTCCCTACTAGGGTTCATGATAATTTCATCCAGACCATTGCACCACCACTAAAATATGTCTGTCTGTCATTATGAATTGCTATGAAAGATAACTTAAAGTTATGTTATGTTCACACAGGGAGACGATAGATAAGGGCTTCATGGAAGCGTGTCACTACATTAAGGATCGTATGGCAGAGGTGGTGACCCCTGATAAAGAAATGGTAAGAACAGTTCCCCTCAAACTGTCGTGCCTGAGGTTAATCGTGGTTAAGGCCGACACCCTCTTCACATATGCGACCCATGAACGGCGAGGGAACGAATCCCAGCCCGACTGGTCTTCACACAATGTACCTCATTTTTGTACCCCTTTCCATAAATGGGAAAATACCTGAAAACATATTTTAAATTTAAAAAAGTACAAACGCTAACAAACGTGAACTCTAACCCCACCTTCATGTGCACATCCTGGTTCAACCCATAGAGATTTAGTTAGAGAGCTCATCTTTGTCGCTGTCCCATTATGGCGTCTGACAGCAAGGGCAGAGCCATTGATGCTATCTCCATTTTGAAGTTGTAAATGTTCTTCTTCTTTTGTGTTTCAAAAAAGCATAAAGATATAATGGTGATTTACCGCCACCTGAATCAACTCTTGTGTGTCATTCATTTATTGTGGCTACTAGATGGTGGTGATACAACTTAAAGCCATTTACAAACCAGGTAACCCAAAGAAGAAGCCAATGCTCTGGACATTGGTTGATCCCTCCCAACCCATGGGAATCCCCACCCAGTTGAGTACTTTAAAATGATGGAAGCCCTCAATGGCAATGTCCATGCAAAAACAGGGTTATATCCAACTAGAGAGCTCTAACTATCTGTATGATTCAACCCTAACCCTAGGCTCAACCACATCCCTAACCCTAGCTTCATGTCCACATCCCTGTACAACACTAACCCTAGGCTCAACCACATCCCTAACCCTAGCTTCATGTTCACATCCCTGTACAACACTAACCCTAGGCTCAACCACAACCCTAACCCTAACCCTAACCCTAGCTTCATGTCCACATCCCTGTACAACCCTAACCCTAGGCTCAACCACATCCCTAACCCTAGCTTCATGTCCACATCCCTGTACAACACTAACCCTAGGCTCAACCACATCCCTAACCCTAGCTTCATGTCCACATCCCTGTACAACCCTAACCCTAGGCTCAACCACATCCCTAACCCTAGCTTCATGTCCACATCCCTGTACAACACTAACCCTAGCCTCAACTACAACGCTAACCCTAGCTTCATGTCCACATGCCAGTTCAACCCTCACCCTAACCCTCAACCCTAATCCTAACCCTAGCTTCATGTTCACATCCCAGTACAACACTAACCCTAGCCTCAACCACAACCACAACCCTAACCCTAACCCTAACCCTAACCCTAGTTTCATGTCCACATCCCCGTTCAACCCTAACCTTAACCTACTGCAACCCTAACCCTTGTTAGGTACAACACCGTACAACAGACATGTTCTGCCGGTGTTGTACCAGGAGTGTGTGTGTGTGTGTAACAGTGTGTCTTTGTGTCTCCCCTCAGAGACATGTCCTGATGGTATTGTACCAGGAGTGGTTCCGTGTGTCCAGTCAGAAGGATTCTCTGGCCGACACCGTCACCCTCTACCTGAGAGAGGTGGGCATCACCACTCCAACTCTGCTGCGTTACATTGTGAACCTGGCCGACGGTAACGGCAACACAGCGCTCCACTACAGCGTGTCCCACTCCAACTTCCCTGTGGTCAAACTGCTGCTGGACACAGGTATGGGATAATCATTCACCTCTCTCTTCTATCAATTCAATTCAATTCTCTCTCACCCCCTTTCTCTGTCTCTCTATCGCACCCTTTCTCTCCTCATCCTTTTTCCTCCTTGAGTCCTTAGCTATTGAATTGAAATGGTCTGTGTGTGAGTTTGTATGCGTTTGCGGCTTGTCAAATAAAATAAAATAAAATTGTATTTGTCACATGGGCCGAATACAACAGGTGTAGACCTTACCGTGAAATGCTTACTTACAAGCCCTTAACCAACAATGCAGTTCAAGAAATAGAGTTGAGAAAATATTTACTAAATAAACTAAAGTAAAAAATAAAATAAAAAGTACCACAATAAAATAACAATAACGAGGCTATATACAGGGGGTACCGGTACCGAGTCAATGTGCGGGGGTACAGGTTAGTCAAGGTAAGTTGTACATGTAGATAGGGGTAAAGTGACTATGCATAGATAATAAACAGCGAGTAGCAGCAGTGCAAAAACAAAGGGGGGGGAGGGTGTCAATGCAAATAGTCTGGGTGACCATTTGATTAATTGTTCAGCAGTCTTATGGCTTGGGGGTAGAAGCTGTTAAGGAGCCTTTTGGACCTAGACTTGGCACTCTGTTACCGCTTGCCATGCGGTAGCAGAGAGAACAATCTATGACTTTACCATTTCTTGGGCCTTCCTCTGACACCGCCTAGTATATAGGTCCTGGATGGCAGGAAGCTTGGCCCCAGTGATGTACTGGGCAGTACGCACCACCCTCTGTAGCACCTTACGGTCGGATGCCGAGCAGTTGCCATACCAGGAGGTGATGCAACCTGTCAGGATGCTCTCGATGGTGCAGCTGTATATCCTTTTGAGGATCTGGGGACCAATGCCAAATCTTTTCAGTCTCCTGAGGTGGAAAAGGTGTTGTCGTGCCCTCTTCACGACTGTCTTGGTGTGTTTGGACCATGATAGTTTGTTGGTGATGTGGACACCAAGGAACTTGAAACTCTCAATCCGCTCCACTACAGCCCTGTCGATGTTAATGGGGGCCTGTTCAGCCCTGCTTTTTCTGTAGTCCACGATCAGCTCCTTTTTCTTGCTCACACTGAGGGGAGAGGTTGTTGTCCTTGCACCACACTGCCAGGTCTCTGATCTCCTCCCTATAGGCTGTCTCATCGTTGTCGGTGATCAGGCCTACCACTGTTGTGTCATCGGCAAACTTAATGATGGTGTTGGAGTCGTGCCTGGCCATGCAGTCATGGGTGAACAGGGAGTACAGGAGGGGACTGAGCACGCACCCCTGAGGGGCCCCCGTGTTGAGGATCAGCGTGGCAGATGTTGTTACCTACCCTTACCACCTGGGGGCAGCCTGTCAGGAAGTCCAGGATCCAGTTGCAGAGGCAGGTGTTTAGTCCCAGGATCCTTAGCTTAGTGATGAGCTTTGTGGGCACTATGGTGTTGAACACTGAGCTGTAGTCAATGAACAGCATTCTCACATAGGTGTTCCTTTTGTCCAGGTGGGAAAGGGCAGTGTGATTGAGATTGCGTCATCTGTGGATCTGTTGGGGCGGTACGCGAATTGGAGTGGGTCTAGGGTTTCTGGGATAATGGTGTTGATGTGATCCATGACCAGCCTTTCAAAGCACTTCATGGCTACTGGCTACTGACGCAAGTGCTACAGTGCGGTAGTCATTTAGGCAGGTTACCTTCGCTTTCTTGGGCACAGGGACTATGGTGGTCTCCTTGAAACATGTAGGTATTACAGACTCGGTCAGGGAGAGGTTAAAAATGTCAGTGAAGACACTTGCCAGTTGGTCCACGCATGCTCTGAGTATACGTCCTGGTAATCTGTCTGGCCACCGCGGCCTTGTGAATGTTGACCTGTTTAAAGGTCTTGCTCACATCGGCTATGGAGAGCGTGATCACACAGTCATCCGGAACAGCTGGTGCTCTCATGCATTCTTTAGTGTTGCTTACCTCGAAGCGAGCATAAAAAGCATTTAGCTCGTCTGGTAGGCTTGCGTCACTGGGCAGCTCGCGGCTGGGTTTCCCTTTGTAGTCCGTAGTAGTTTGCAAGACCTGCCACATCCGACGAGCATCAGAGCCGGTGCAGTAGGATTCAATCTTAGTCCTGTATTGATGCTTTGCCTGTTTGATGGTTCATCTGAGGGCATAGCGGGATTTCTTATAAGTGTCTGGATTCTTGAAAGCAGCAGCTTTAACCTTTAGCTCGGTGCGGATGTTGCCTGTAATCCATGGCTTCTGGTTGGGATATGTACGTACGGTCACTGTGGGGATGACATTTTCGATGCACTTATTGATGAAGCCATTGACTGTTGTGGTGTACTCCTCAATGCCATTGGATGAATCCTGGAACATATTCCAGTCTGTGGTAGCAAAACAGTCCTGTAGCGTAGCATCCGCGTCATCTCACCACTTCCACATTGAACGAGTCACTGGTACTTCCTGCTTTTGTAGGAATCAGGTGGGTAGAATTATGGTCAGATTTGCCAAATGGAGGGCGAGGTAGAGCTTTGTATGTGTCTCTGTGTGTTACGTAAAGGTAGTCTAGAGTTTTTTTTCCTCTGGTTGCACATGTGACATGCTTGTAGAAATGAGGTAAAACAGATTTAAGTTTGCCTGCATTAAAGTCCCCGGCCACTAGGAGCACCGCTTCTGGATGAGCACTTATACAACTCGTTGAGTGCGGTCTTAGTGCCAGCATCGGTTTGGGGTGGTAAATAATAATAATAATATAGATGAAAACTCTCTTGGTAGATAGTGTGGTCTACAGCTTATCATGAGGTACTCTACATCAGGCGAGCAATACGTCGAGACTTCTTTAAAATTAGACATCGCGCACCAGCTTTTATTGACATATAGACACACACCTCCACCCCTCGTCTTACAAGACGTAGCTTCTCTGTCCTGCCGATGCACGGAAAACCCAGCCAGCTCTATATTATCCGTGTCGTCGTTCAGCCACAACTCGGTGAAACATAAGATATTACAGTTTTTAATGTCCCGTTGGTAGGATAGTCTCGATCGTAGAGCATCCAGTTTATTTTCCAGTGATTGCATGCATACGTATGTGCATGCATACGTACAGTGAGGGAAAAAAGTATTTGATCCCCTGCTGATTTTGTACGTTTGCCCACTGACAAAGAAATGATCAGTCTATAATTTTAATGGTAGGTTTATTTGAACAATGAGAGACAGAATAACAACAAAAAAATCCAGAAAAACGCATGTCAAAAATGTAATAAATTGATTTGCATTTTAATGAGGGAAATAAGTATTTGACCCCCTCTCAATCAGAAAGATTTCTGGCTCCCAGGTGTCTTTTATACAGGTAACGAGCTGAGATTAGGAGCACACTCTTAAAGGGAGTGCTCCTAATCTCAGCTTGTTACCTGTATAAAAGACACCTGTCCACAGAAGCAATCAATCAATCAGATTCCAAACTCTCCACCATGGCCAAGACCAAAGAGCTCTCCAAGGATGTAGACCTACACTCCATGCAAGATCTCACCTCGTGGAGTTGCAATGGTCATGAGAACGGTGAGGAATCAGCCCAGAACTACACGGGAGGATCTTGTCAATGATCTCAAGGCAGCTGGGACCATAGTCAACAAGAAAACAATTAGTAACACATTACGCCGTGAAGGACTGAAATCCTGCAGTGCCCGCAAGGTCCCCCTGCTCAAGAAAGCACATATACAGGGCAGTCTGAAGTTAGCCAATGAACATCTGAATGATTCAGAGGAGAACTGGGTGAAAGTGTTGTGGTCAGATGAGACCAAAATCGAGCTCTTTGGCATCAACTCAACTCGCCGTGTTTGGAGGAGGAGTAATGTTGCCTATGACCCCAAGAACACCATCCCCACCGTCAAACATGGAGGTGGAAACATTATGCTTTGGGGATGTTTTTCTGCTAAGGGCACAGGACAACTTCACCGCATCAAAGGGACGATGGATGGGGCCATGTACTGTCAAATCTTGGGTGAGAACCTCCTTCCTTCAGCCAGGGCATTGAAAATGGGTCGTAGATGGGTATTCCAGCATGACAATGACCCAAAACACACGGCCAAGGCAACAAAGGAGTGGCTCAAGAAGAAGCACATTAAGGTCCTGGAGTGGCCTAGCCAGTCTCCAGACCTTAATCCCATAGAAAATCTGTGGAGGGAGCTGAAGGTTTGAGTTGCCAAACGTCAGCCTCGAAATCTTAATGACTTGGAGAAGATCTGCAAAGAGGAGTGGAACAAAATCCCTCCTGAGATGTGTGCAAACCTGGTGGCCAACTACAAGAAACGTCTGACCTCTGTGATTGCCAACAAGGGTTTTGTCACCAAGTACTAAGTCACGTTTTGCAGAGGGGTCAAATACTTATTTCCCTCATTAAAATGCAAATCAATTCATAACATTTTTGACATGCGTTTTTCTGGATTTTTATGTTGTTATTCTGTCTCTCACTGTTCAAATAAACCTACCATTAAAAGTATAGACTGATCAATTCTCTGTCAGTGGGCAAACCTACAAAATCAGCAGGGGATCAAATACTTTTTTCCCTCACTGTATGTATGTGTGTATGTTCATGTACTCATACTTTTTTTTTGTGTGTACTGTGTGTGTGTGTGTGTGTGTGTGTGTGTGTGTGTGTGTGTGTGTGTGTGTAGGTCTGTGTGAGGTGGACATCCAAAACAAGGCGGGCTACACAGCAGTGATGCTGGCCTCCCTAACAGCTGCTGATAGATCAGAGGACATGGAGGTGGCTCTGCAGCTGCTGAGACAGGGAGATGTCAACGCCCGCGCCCGCCAGGTACACAAAACATGTACACACTCTATCTCTCTCTCTCACACACACACACACACACACCCCTGTAGACACATTTACTCTAACCAATTGTACACTCACAGACACACATTAACACTGAGCCACTGTATATTCACACACACCTGCAGTCACAGACTGTATATTTACTCAGCTATCTATTGTACAAGCCATTCTATAGACACTGAAACACCTGTACACACAGTCACCTACACGCCTCTCTGGATTTCTTACCTCTCCTGCACAAGTTTGTTGTTGTTTACCTTTTAAACCTTTATAATTTTGTTTTGTATTTTCTTGTGTGCCAAAAAAATACATATATATTTAACAAGAAATACCTATACTCAATACTAACCTACTCACTCCGTCACTCAGGACCAGAGTACTTGCCTGTACTTGATTCTCTTCCTCTCACACATTCTTCCTACCACAAACATATACAGTGAGGGAAAAAAGTATTTGATCCCCTGCTGATTTTGTACGTTTGCCCACTGACAAAGAAATTATCAGTCTATAATTTTAATGGTAGGTTTATTTGAACAGTGAGAGACAGAATAACAACAAGAAAATCCAGAAAAACGCATGTCAAAAATGTTATAAATTGATTTGCATTTTAATGAGGGAAATAAGCATTTGACCCCCTCTCAATCAGAAAGATTTCTGGCTCCCAGGTGTCTTTTATACAGGTAACGAGCTGAGATTAAGAGCACACTCTTAAAGGGAGTGCTCCTAATCTCAGCTTGTTACCTGTATAAAAGACACCTGTCCACAGAAGCAATCAATCAATCAGATTCCAAACACTCCACCATGGCCAAGACCAAAGAACTCTCCAAGGATGTCAGGGACAAGATTGTAGACCTACACAAGGCTGGAATGGGCTACAAGACCATCGCAAAGCAGCTTGGTGAGAAGGTGAAAACAGTTGGTGCTATTATTCACAAATGGAAGAAACACAAAATACCTGTCAATCTCCCTCGGCCTGGGGCTCCATGCAAGATCTCACCTCGTGGAGTTGCAATGATCATGAGAATGGTGAGGAATCAGCCCAGAACTACACGGGAGGATCTTGTCAATGATCTCAAAGCAGCTGGGACCATAGTCACCAAGAAAACAATTGGTAACACACTACGCCGTGAAGGACTGAAATCCTGCAGCGCCCGCAAGGTCCCCCTGCTCAAGAAAGCACATATACAGGCCCGTCTAAAGTTTGCCAATGAACATCTGAATGATTCAGAGGAGAACTGGGTGAAAGTGTTGTAGTCAGATGAGACCAAAATCGAGCTCTTTGGCATCAACTCAACTCGCCGTGTTTGGAGGAGGAGGAATGCTGCCTATGACCCCAAGAACACTATCCCCACCATCAAACATGGAGGTGGAAACATTATGCTTTGGGGGTGTTTTTCTGCTAAGGGGACAGGACAACTTAACCGCATCCAAGGGATGATGGACGGGGCTATGTACCGTCAAATCTTGGGTGAGAACCTCCTTCCCTCAGCCAGGGCATCGAAAATGGGTCTTGGATGGGTATTCCAGCATGACAATGACACAAAACACATGGCCAAGGCAACAAAGGAGTGGCTCAAGAAGAAGCACATTAAGGTCCTGGAGTGGCCTAGCCAGTCTCCAGACCTTAATCCCATAGAAAATCTGTGGAGGGAGCTGAAGGTTTGAGTTGCCAAACGTCAGCCTCGAAATCTTAATGACTTGGAGAAGATCTGCAAAGAGGAGTGGAACAAAATCCCTCCTGAGATGTGTGCAAACCTGGTGGCCAACTACAAGAAACGTCTGACCTCTGTGATTGCCAACAAGGGTTTTGCCACCACGTACTAAGTCACGTTTTGCAGAGGGGTCAAATACTTATTTCCCTCATTAAAATGCAAATCAATTTATAACATTTTTGACATGCGTTTTTCTGGATTTTTTGTTGTTGTTGTTGTTATTCTGTCTCTCACTGTTCAAATTGAAATTAAAATTAAAGACTGATCATGTCTTTGTCAGTGGGCAAATGTACAAAATCAGCAGGGGATCAAATACTTTTTTCCCTCACTGTATAGTTTCCCTCTCTCACATTTCCTTCCTGTCTTCTTTTCTTTTCTCTTACTTCTCTCTCTCCTGGTATCTAGGCAGGGCAGACGGCTCTGATGCTATCGGTCAGCCATGGTCGTACAGCCATGGTGCGGTTGCTGCTGAGCTGCCAAGCTGACCTCAACATTCAGGACAAAGATGGTTCGACCGCACTCATGTGTGCCTGTGAGCACGGTCACACCGAGATCGCTCGGGTGCTACTGGAGTCTGGACACTGTGACACCAGTCTCACAGACAAGGTAGGGACGCACGCACACACATGCTGTACACAGAAATACATCAGGGCATACACACGAACATTAACACATACATACCACAGGAGGTTGGTGGCACCTTAATTGGGGAGAACGGGCTCGTGGTAATGACTGGTATCAAATACATTTCCATTTGCTCCATTCCGGTCATTATTATGAGCCTCCTGTGATACATACAGTACAGTTACTTTTGGACTTCCCAAAATGTTGCATTTCAAAACAAGACAACAGTGCCACTACCTGGCTAAAACTGTGAAGTGCATCTTGTTAATTGATTTGAATGTGACGAGCACACAGACTCTCAGACGATGTCAAATCCCCTAACCTTTGAGCTGCAGGGAATTGACCAGAAACACACTATCCTATTTTACCTCCACGGAGTGATAGCAGCATGGGCAGCCAGATATGGTAGGAAATAGCTGCTAGGTTAATGACTGTTTTGCAGTGATGTCTCTCTGGGTTTGACACGCTAATCCCTCCTAGAAGGTATTACACTGTACTGGATGTGTAGCGGTGTCTGTGCGTGAATTGCGCGGAGGCTATGGCTAGAATCAGACCTTAGGCCTCCAGGGCAGAGTCAGACAAGGAGCTAATGTAGACCCTGGAACCTCAGACATATGTATGTGTGCTGGGTTGTGGCTGAGACAGACAGGCTGTAAATATCACTCTCTCTATCCAGCTCTCTAGCTCTTCCTTTCCCATGGCCCTGACATGGTATTTTCCTGCTCTCACTCTGGTCCCATATTTATCTCACTATGTGTTCAATTCAACAATACTTAATTTATACCCATGAAGAGACCCTAATGCAAAACATCCCACAAGCCAGCCAGGAGTCGAACCTAGAATATTCCGATTCGTAGTCAGACGCATTATCCATTGCACCACTGGCCCACTGTGAAGATGACCTTTTTTGGGGTGTAGGTTTTAGCCGTATGCTCATTACCCAGGTCTCATGTTTCTCCTGTTGGTCCTACTGTGGGAAGGGGGGAGGGAGGGAGGGAGGGAGGGAGGAGTCTAAAGCACACATTCTCTGGCTAGTGGAGAGGACAGTGTTCACTGTTCAAACATGATTGACCCACACCGTTTTTGTTTACTCTAAAAGTGAATCAACATTCTCTCTCTCTCTCTCTCTCTCTCTCTCTCTCTAGGATGGTCAGAGTGCTCTGTCGGTGGTGGTAGCGGCCTCCAATGCTGAGCTAGTTGACCTTCTCAAGTCCCACTCAGACTCCACCACCACCCAGGCCTCCAACCCCTCCACCACCTCTCTTCCCCCCCAGTAGCCCCTCTCTAACCCCTACCCCACCCACCCTGGACCCACTATACCCCGGACCGCTTTCCCTGGACCAGAGGAGGCTGGTGGGTGGAGCTATAGGAGGACGGGCTCATTGTAATGGCTGGAGTGGAATGAATGGAACAGTATCAAACTCATCAAACATATGGAAACCACATGCTTGACTCTGTTCCATTCATTCCAATGCAGCCATTACAATGAGCCCGTCCTCCTATAGCTCCTCCCACCAGCTGCCACTGTCATGGACCATACCCTTTTCCAGACTGTCTGGAGGACAGTCAAAGGCTGTATTCACCACCACTGCCTATATCTCCCCACCGACCAGAGCTCAGCTCACAGATAGGCTTACTGGACCTGAGCCACAGGGAACCAGAATAGCACACATTCTTCACATTTCTGCCAACATTTAGTGGGTGGGAATAATGTATCAAGTGTTTGGTAGCCAGTCAATGTTACACTCAAAAACCCAGTAGCCGTGACGACAGTGGTAATTGACAGGTGATCCAGGAAGAGGGCAGAAGGACAACAGAGGTATGATGGATTGTGGCTTTCTAATAAAAAAATAGCTATTTAGGCCAAAATAATCTTAAACACATGATCTACCTTAAAAATCGGTCATATTATTATCAATAATATGTTTTTCCTTCCTTTTTATACCTGTAGCTAGGTTTCCATCCAATTGGCAACAGATTTTCATCCGAATATTCTAAAATCCGCATAAAGAAAATGTGCAAGCAATGCAGATGTAGAAGCATGGTGGCTAGGAAAAACTCCCTAGAAAGGCAGGAACCTAGTAGAAACCTAGATAGGAACCAGGCTCTGAAGTGTGGCCAGTTCTCTTCTCGATGTGCCGGGTGGAGATTATAAGAGTACATGGCCATTAAAGCCAGATTGTTCTTCAAGATGTTCAAACGTTCATAGACCTGAGTCAATGTGTTTCCATCACATTTTAAACTAGTTTTGACACAAAAACTGTTGCCTTAATTTTCAATATTTGTCACGATCGTCATAATGAGCGGACCAAGGCGCAGCGTGATACGAGTACATACTTTAATAGTACTTAGCAACACGACACAATACAACAACAAAATAACAAAACGATACGTGAAGTCCTCGGTCAATAACACAAACCTACACGGAACAAGATCCCACGAATCACAAGTGCACAAAAGGCTGCCTAAGTATGGTTCCCAATCAGAGACAACAAGCAACAGCTGATTCTCTTTGCCTCTGATTGAGAACCACCCCGGCCAACATAGAAACACATAACCTAGAACAGAACATAGAAAACGAAACATAGACACTACACAAAGAAACTAACACCCTGGCTCAACATACAAGAGTCCCCAGAGCCAGGGCGACAATATTCCTACTCTGGTTTTGGCACATGCGCTCTAGCCAACAGCTAGCAGATACAGTGCGGGTAGGTTAATCTACATGATGAGATTATTATGGATAAGAATATTTGCATTTGTCAAATGGCAGTGAAGCATCGATCATCATGTCACCAGAATAAGACCCTCGATATTTATTGGAAAGGAACATCAAGCTCATAGCGTGCACTTTCAACACCCTGTGAAGTTCATCATAATTGACATAATCTGTTGCCTAATAAACTGCATGGTTTCCCGAATTGTAGTCGGAGGACCACACAACATATAATCACATGACTCAAAGTTTGCTTCGATATAATGGTTATTATATCAGTATTTGCGCATAAAGGTTTCCACTGGCATTTCTCGCAAAATACATTTTACCGACACAAAAATATCCCACCATGTCTAACAAACAAATTCTCTGTTGGCATTTATAAAATTGTACCGAAATGTCCTGTTTGCATCACAGCTGTCGTGATTTTTTTTATACGGTATGACTTTACTCGCATGAAAACTGGATGGAAACGTGGTTATTGATGACATTACTATTCTTTTATATTTGGACATAAGCCATTTATTTAAATCATAAAGTCTGAATGCTATTATAGCGTTTGATCAAATACACACTCTATATTTATTTTGTAATGCACTTTGTTTTACTCTGTTTGATTGACACACGCCGTACATATCAATGCTTGGTTTTCGTCAGTATGGCCTGACGATTGACTCACTTAGACGTCTTCCAATATGAAGGTTGTACAGTAGGTTGCAGCAATTTTACAACCCTCGCAGAATCGACACACGCTACTAAACTGCAGTATGTTGTAGCAACTGTCTATGTAATACTCTACTGAACAATTTACAACTCTGTCTCTTTATATCTCTCTCTTTGTCTCTCACACACCTCACACACATACACACACACACACACACACACACACACACACACACACACACACACACACACTCTCACTCACTCCACTGTAATGCATCCCTTCCTCTATCTGCCTGCTTATAGATTACAAATAAAATAATATATGCACCCAAATCGCTACAAAATGCACAGAGAATGTCAGGCAATTTTACATTCCAGATACAGTGTCATTCAGCAGCCTTCTGTTATATCTCTACAGGACTATGGAACAACATCACACCACTGAGCACAGGAAGCATTACAGGAGACTACTATCCGTCACTGGCCATAATGTAGTAGGGGGTTGTCACATTTTCTGTAACGTTTCAGTCAGTTAGTAATATTACAACCCCTTCTCCCGTACAGACACCACAGGCTGCTTTCACTGCTAGAAAAGTAGAAAGGTTGTTTTTAGGGGATTGCACCTCTCTCTTCCACACCCACCTCTTCTCTGTATTGAACAATGGCTTAGTATAGGACACTGGTGTGAAGTAATGACATAATGAGAATATCCTATCTTGCCTATCAGAAAATGAAGAGGTATGTGACGCAATGTGATTTTTCATACCCAGTCCTAAAGGAAATGTGCTGTACTCACCAGCTGGAGAGGTGTTGTCTTTCTCACCTGTTCATCAGAAACCAAGTTTAGGAGCTGAAGACTGACCTCTACTGGTTAAATACATATATGGATAATTACCTGTAGATACAGTATTGTGAAAAATACATCTGGTATTGTCTGACATTTGCTCTTAAATATATTTAGTATTTATTCAAAATGTTATATTTTTACAATATACAGTATATGCATGGGCCAATAGTCCAATGATCATGTTGGATATAAATATGTGAATTTATTGGTTCTTCTGGATGGTATATATAAGCTGATTGCTCTACTCTAATAAGCAATGTGACTGTCAATTGGTTGGGTGGTTCATGCTCGTCTCTTATTGGACAAGGCTGTGTACGGTACTGTGTCAACAGGACTGACTGTTGTAATACTGTACTACTGCATCACAATCAGATGTAAACAGCTGTACCTGCAATATTCCTACTATCAAATTGGCTTGTATGTTAACCATTTACAAATCATAGAATTGCTTCTAAATAAAAAGGAACATTTTAAAACTGGATTGGGTAGAAGTGTATTATGTGATGATCCAATGGATATTAGCCTCTACAGTGCATTAGCCTCTGAAGGATGTGCATACTTCTTTTTTTCCCTTCTTCTATGCTGACCATGTATCATGTTGACCTCACAAGCAGTTGTCCACCTGTCAAAGACCTTCACTGAGCCAATTTCACTCTGCCAGACAGACCACTACAGTGTGTGTGTGTGTGTGTGTGTAAGTGTGTGCATTTGTGTGTGTGTGTGTGTGTGTGTGCGCAAGCGTGTGTGTAAAACTAGCTTGCACCAGCAGATGGTAATGTTACCCCAGGATAAAGACAAGAGTTAGGGGTTTCTCTGCATCCTCAGAATGCCAGCAGGACAGTGCCTTCAGGAAGTATTTACACCCATTGACTTTTTCCACATTTTGTTGTGTTACAAAGTGTGATTACAATTAATTTAATTTAATTATAATTTTATGTCAACAATCTACACAAAATACATTCACTGTCTTCTTGGTTTAGGTTATTTATTGTCTTGCTGAAAGGTGAATTCATCTCCCAGTGTGTGACGGAAAGCTAACTGAACCAGGTTTTCCTCTAGAATTTTGCCTGTGCTTAGCTCCATTCAGTTTAATTTTTACCCTGAAAAACTCCCCAGTCCTTAATCACAAGCATCTCCATATCATGATACAGCCACCACTATGCTTGAAAATATGGAGAGTGGTACTCAGTAATGTGTTGTATTGGATTTGCCACAAACATAACACTTTGTATTCAGGACATAAAGTTAATTGCTTTGCCACATTTTTTTGCGGTATTACTTTATTGCCAATTAGGTTATCATTGTAGAGTATCTACAATATTGTTCATCCATCCTCAGTTTTCTCCTATCACACCCATTCAACTCTGTAACTGTTTTAAAGTTACCATTGGCCTCATGGTAAAATCCCTGAGCGGTTTCCTTCCTCTCCAGCAACTGAGTTAGGAAGGACGCCTGTATAGATACACCATCCAAAGTGTAATGTATATCTTCACCAGGACCAATTAATTTTTATCCATCTACCAATAGGTGCCCTTCTTTGCGAGGCATTGGAAAACCTCCCCGGTCTTTGTGGTTGAATCTGTGTTTGAAATTCACTGTTCGACTGAGGGATCTTACAGTTAATTGCATGTGTGGGGTACAGAGATGAGGTAGTCATTCAAACATCATGTTAAACAATATTATTGCACACAGAGTGACTCCATGCAACTTACTATGTGACTTGTTAAGCACATTTTTACTCATGGACTTATTTAGGCTTGCCATAAGGAAGGGGTTGAATACTTATTGACTCAAGACATTTCAGCTTTTTATTTTTAATTAATTTGTAAACATTTAGAAAAACATAATTCCACTTTGACATTATGGGGTATTGTGTGTAGGCCAGTGGTAAAACATCTCAATTTAATCAATTTTAAATTCAGGCTGTAACATAACAAAATGTGGAAATTCAATGGGTGGGAATATTTTCTGAAGACACTGTAAGTTAACATGCCAGGACAGGGGTCGTTCTGCAACCCAAATGATAGATAAAGCGAATTTTCCAAATTCTC